GATGCAGAAATTACATTTTATGATCCTGTCAGTCTCAAATCCGCAACGCCCGGGCGACTTCAGCTGCTTGGGATACCGATAGGTTGGCACCGCCCGATTCCTTTTTTTCATCATGTGATACTCACACATAATTCGTAGGATGAAGAGGTGCCTTGGCTGAAGAGCAGGATGATAATGACTCTGATTTGGATGAATGTAATTTATATTTGGATCAATGCATTGTGGCCCGTCTATAGTATTATGTTCTTTGTACCGTTCTCGCGCACTTGCCAGTGGGGTATGAGCCTACTGTTTAAGGAAGCCCATCAATCGGCCTTGCCTTAAGCAACACAAGGCCGCCTTATGCCGGACCTTAAGCAACCTCGAGGCGCTTAAGGCCAAAAACTCCGATGCCTCGAGGCCCCTCGACCTTGCCTTGCGGCAACACTAGTCAGTACTTGTCAAGCTTAAGCGAGCAATATCAGGAAAACATATCGCTTACGTCATCCAGCCTTTTTTTCTACCACTCCAGGCTCACTTCCGGCCCTCGACGCTGTCGACGATGAGCAAGCTCTTCTTCTCTACTATAGAGGTTACTCGCCAGGCATTCTACCGCACATCGCTCACATGCGCCATCGTCAATCTCAAGCCGATCGTTCCTGGACGTAAGAGCTCGGTCCAGGACTTGCCTGCCCACTCATGTCGCTGAGGCCATCTCAGACGTGCTGGTCATCCCAAACCGAGTTGTACCCCGCCTCAAGGACTTGGAGACTCATGAACTGGCCGCACTGATGTCCTCGGTACAGACCGTCGGAAAGGTCGTGGAGCGCGTCTATGGAGCGGATGGTCTGACGATCGCATGCCAAGTGCGTCTCAATAGTCCTACCCTTTACGACAACATGTTCACGGGCGGTGCGAACTTTCACAGGATGGAAAGGCTGCTGGACAGACTGTTCCCCATGTGCATTTCCATCTCTTGCCGCGCAAACTACACGGCGATCGTTTCACTTCTCGCAACGACGAAGTATACCCAGCCCTAGAACGAGCAGAGAGCGAGCTTCCGGAAGAGTTGGCCTCTACTCCATCCAACTCACCACAGTCGACATCTTCGAAGGAGAAGGGTGGTCCGATCGGGAATGTCGAACCTCTTTGCATGGATGCAGACGATGAGAGGAAACCGCGTTCCATGGAAGAAATGGTCCAAGAGGCCGAGTGGCTGAGAGGTTTTTTCATAGGTGCTGAGGAGACAGAAGTGGAATGACACACGCTGTCACGCATGCAGGACGAAAATTAAATCGTGTATTAATATAGGTCCGCTATCCGACGTCAAGAAACGAAGACCAAACTACATGGTCGAGTCGGCCCAGCACGCAACCGTCATGCTTCATGTAGGTCATCTTTGCCTGAACCTGTCACATGCGGTGCTGCCTCAGGCACGTCTTGGGGAAAGTTCTTCTCCTCCCACGTGCCTGGGATGACAGCGACAGTTAATAGCCAGGTCGCCGTTAGGGTAACACCGTGACCTAGGTCAGAATTAGAACTGCCTGGTGATGCTCATGTGAGAGATGAACAAACCTTTATCGAAGCTTTTGACGGCACTCCAGCTCCATACTACGTAGCCACCGACATATCCCAGGTACGGCGTGAAAGCCTTGAGCAACAGCATAGCAGGACGCGCTTGCACGGGTATCATAGTAAGGGGCACGCGGTCGAGGGCCCATTTTAATGCAGCGGTGAGCATGGCAGCTCGCTTCGCCCCCTCAATCTTTTTGTTATCCAAGATGTCTAAGACAGGCGGAGGAAGGTATCTGAAATATCGGGTAAGTTGTTCGCCTCGACGAAGGGAGATTTAGACCTACATGCGGTAGCCCCACCACATCACCTGAATAGAGATCTTGTCAGGAGATGGTATCCAAACTCGCTTAGGTTTGCCTGGCTGGACTGGCTGGAAGTGCACTCTAGAGGTCGACGGAGCGGCATCATTGTCCACCGTCCGTTTACCATCCTCCTTCGCTTTGAAGGGCCACATCTCCTCCAGCTTACCCTTCAGACTCCCTAGTGGGTCAGGCCTGGCGCTGGGCGCTGACTCCTCCGCCTTTCCCGCTTCTGCCTCATCAACATCTGTAGATCGGGCCAACTCCACTTCCGAACTGTCGTTCGGTAGCAGTGGACCATAGATCATGACCCCGGAGTCATCGTCGTCCAAGACTCGTTCCTCTGCGGCTTTAGCATCTCCCTGCGCTGTGGCTGGAGTACTTGACGACGAACTCTGGCCTGGTAGTTGTGCGCGGAGCTTGTCGAGCACAGACCAGACACTCTGGCCACTCTTCGATAGCGTGCCGTTCATCACAGCTGTCGAGGACAACAGCGTCACCAGCTTGGGATCGGTGACCAACGCGGGCGGGGGGTGAGAAGCTATATCTGAACAAGTATTGTCTGCTGTCTCGTGAGCGGGTGTATCACTTGTTGGAAGAGCTGGAGAACTGGACAACAGAGCTTGTATTCTCCGCGCTAGGGTGAGCGGTTCCGGAGGTGGGTCAATGCTGTCCGCGACAGCAGAGTCGGTGACAGCAGGGTCCACGAGATGTTCAACCGAAGCAGGCTCGTCTGGGAGCACTTATCTCGGTATGAGCATGTGCTAACGCTGATACAAAGGCGCTTACCTATGGAGGACCTCCGATCGGCCTCCGAAGGCTTCTCCTGCTGGGCAGTGTCCCAGCTAGCGGGAGGGAACTCGATGCCTCCATCCTTCCTAGTCTTCCCCAGACTCAGGAAGCGTTGTAATGAAGTAGGGTTCCCGGTAACGTCCCCCACGGCAGGTGTGCCAGGAGTAGAAGATTGGGACGGTGTTATTGGCGTCACTTCGTCCTTCTTCGAGAAAAACCCCTTCGCGCTCTGGCTCAGCTGTCTA